GATGAAGTACTATTCTGCAATAAAAAGAAATCAGGTATTAATACTTCCAAACATTATGCTCAGTGGAAGAAGCCAGACAAAAGATCACATATTGTATGATTCCAAAATCATGTAACATTTGATGAAATGGCCAAAAAAGGCAAATCTACCAAGACAGAAAGTAGATTAGTGGATGTCTTGGGCTGGGTTTGGACTGTACAGTGACTGCAGATGGATATGAAGTTTCTCTTTAGGGTGATGGAAATGTTCTAAATTTAGATTGTGGCGATGGCTGTACAATTCTATAAACAGCTAATGAAATTCAATGAATTGTACACTTAAAACAGGTGAATTTCTTGGTAGGTAAATTATGTATCAATAAAGCTGTTTTTTAGAAAAAGATCTCTTAGGCTCCTATGTGGAGAGAGGCTATAGGTAGAAATTTCCAGATAAAATTGCGAATGCCCAGTTAGACCTGAATTGCAGATACAAAATGAATGATTTGTTTAGTGTAAGTATATCCCATGCAATATTTTTTAAAGTTGTTACTACATTGCTACATGATTGAACCTACAGGACATTAGTATGCTCTGAGAATTAAGCCAGGAACAAAAGAACAAATACTGTATGATTCTGCTCACATGAGGTCCCTAGAGTCTTCAGATGCACAGAGACAGAAAATAGAATAGAGGTTACCAGGAGTTCGGAGTGAGGGGAGTTATTATTTATGGGCAGAGTTTCTGGGAAGATGAGAAGTCCTGGAGGCAGGTGGTGATGATCGTTGCATAACAATGTGAACGTATTATACTTAATGCCACTAAGCTGTGAACTTAAACATGGTTAAGTTGGACGCAGTGGCTCACACTTGTAGTCCCAGCTACTTGGGAGGCTGAGGCAGGAGGATTGCTTGAGCCCAGAAGTTTGAAGCTGCTGTCATGGCAAAAAAAGGGGAGGAAGGGAGGGAGGGAGGGAAAGAGAAAGAAAAGAAAGTTAAAATGGTAAATTCTATATTGTCCATTTTATAATAAAAAAATACTGTACATATCAAATAAAAATATCTGACATATAGTTCTAAAAAAATGGTTACAATGTAAATTTGTTCTATTTTTAATTGTTTTAAAGGTTAGTCAAGTGGAGCAACGTAAATGTAATGTTACATATATTTTATAACAATAACAAAAAAAGTGTTGTGGATTTGAAATTCAGATCTAACTGGGCTTCCTGTCTTTTTCTTTTCTTTTTTTTTTTTGAGACAGAGTCTCACTTTGTTGCCCAGGCTAGAGTGAGTGCTGTGGCGTCAGCCTCGCTCACAGCAACCTCAAACTCCTGGGCTCAAGCGATCCTCCTGCCTCAGCCTCCCCAGTAGCTGGGACTACACAGGCATGCACCACCATGCCCGGCTAATTATTTTTTTTTATATATATATTAGTTGGCCAATTAATTTCTATTTATAGTAGAGACGGAGTCTTGCTCTTGCTCGGGTTGGTTTCAAACTCTTGACCTTGAGCAATCTGTCTGCCTTGGCCTCCCAGAGAGCTAGTATTACAGGCGTGAGCCATGGCACCCGGCCCTTCCTGTCTTTTTCTTTGCTAAACCTGCCCACCCTTGAGTGGGAGGCAAGCGTTGCAGGACCAATGAGGCAAGTGGGAGGCAAGGTTGCAGGACCAATGAGGAAGATGGTCACTGGGGTCTGGACTAGACTGGGGTACAGATGGGGAAATTGAGGCCTGGTGAAGGGCAGGCCATGTTCAAGTTCATATATCAAGTTCAAGGGCCAGAATGCCACCTCCGCTGGTCCCCACCTCCCAGGCCCTGCCAATTCAGAGCACACTTCTCCCCCGGACCTTGAGCCAGCAAAGAAAAGCAGCCTGCCAGAGATTCCCCATCAGCCCCTGGGGGAGCTATGTCCAGCAGCTGGGACAAGATCAGGCTCTGATAGAAACCGGGAGCAGAGGGAGGTGGGGAGGGCCTGAGGAGCCGCTTTGGACTCCCAAACTGTCAGGCTGAGGCAGTAGGGAATCCCCACATCCTCCCAGATCAGAGCCTGGATAGACCAAAGGTTACACTGTCTGTCACCTCCTATTACTTCCTGTTGCCCCAGAAGTGCGACTGGCACTTGGCCAGAGGAAGCTAAGGTTTCAACAGCACTGCCCCTGCTCTCTCTTTGTAAAATGCTTCCTCTAATCAGCATGCCCTGACCAGATGCGGTGGCTCACACCTGTAATCCTAGCACTTTGGGAGGCCAAGGCGGGAGGATCACTTAAGCCCAGGAGTTCGAGACCAGCCTGGGCAACACAGTGAGACCCTCGTCTCTACAGAAAATTAAAAAAATTAGCCAGGTGTGGTGGCATGCTCCTGTAGTCCCAGCTACTCAGGAGGCTGAGGCAGGAGGATCGCTTGAACCCAGGAGTTGGAGCCTGCAGTGAGTTATGATTGGGCCACTGCACTGCAGCCTGGGCAACAGAGCCAGAGCAAGACTTTGGTAAGAAATAGAAAAGAAAGAAAGAAAAAAGGAAGGAAGGAATAAAGGAAGGGAAAAGAAGGAAGGAGTGAAGAAAGAAGGAAATAGAAGGAAAGAAAAGAAGGAAGGAAGGGAGGGAGGGAGGGAGGGAAAAGAAAAGATGAGAGAGCTATAGTGAATTTATGACCTAGTCTAAGAAGTCACACATTGTTGTTTGTCCGTTATTCTAATTGTTAAAAGTGAGTCACTAAATGTCGAGCCCATACTCAAGTAAAGAGGAAATAAGTTCTGCTTTTTGAAGAGAGAAGTGCCAAAGAATTGTGGACATTTTTTTTTTTTTTTTTTTTGAGATGGGGTCTCCCTGTGTTGCCCAGGCTGGTCTCAGAATCCGGCTCAAATCATCCTCCTGGCTCAGCCTCCTGAGTAGCTGGGATTATGGTTCACCACACTGTGGACATACATTAAAACCACCACAACTAGACACCTATATTTGAGAACTTTTAACATTTTTCCTTATGCACTTCATAGGTTGGTGCATGAATATATATCCGTGTATATATGTATTTGCTTTTATTTTTATTTTTTTTTGAGACATGGTCTTGCTCTGTTTATACAGCTAGAGTGCAGTGGTGTCATCACACCTCACAGCAACTTCTAACTCCTGGGCTCAAGCGATCCTCCTGCCTCAGCCTCCAGAATAGCCGGCACTACAGGAAGGTACTATCAAGCCCAGCTAATTTTTCTATTTTTAGTAGAGACGGAGGGTCTCGTTCTTGATCAGGCTGGTCTGGAACTCCTGAGCTCAAGTGATCCTCCAGCCTCAGCCTCCCAGAGTGCTGGGATTACAGGCATGAACCATCGCACCCAGCCTTGGAGTATTTTAAAGCACAGCTTGAATGCCATTTCGCCCATAAAAACATGAGAGTGCATGTCTATGAAAAATGTATTTTTTTTTATTTTTATTTTTTTTAGAGTTTCTCACTCCATCACACAGGCTGGAGTGCAGTGGCTTGATCGTAGCTCACTGCAACCTGGAACTCCTGGCTTCAGGTGATCGCAGTGCCTGGGCCACCCAAAGTGCTGGGATTACAGGTGTGAGCCACCATGCCCAGCCAAAAAATGTATTTCTAAACATAACCACCATACCATTATCACCCCTAACAAAATTAACAATAGCTCCTTTATATTTCCTAATGCCCAGACATATCCCAATTTCCCTAGTGGGCTCAAAAAATGTCCTTTGACTATTTCTGACCCCTTTATTTGATGTCACAAACTGCCTCCAGTCTGCTTTCTGCCATGTCTGCCGTAACACAGATTTTATTCATTTATTGTATTGTCTGTCTTCCCTCCCGACATCTCCAAAAACCGATGAGCTCCGTGAGGTCAGGGAATTTTGTCTTGTTTCTTCACTGCTGGTACAGAGCCGACTCTCAAGAAAAATATTAAAGTAATAAATTGATATATAATGACATCTGCCATTTATTGAAAACTTTCTAATTGCATCAGCATCCCCACAATCTCCTGCGAGGCGGGTGCTATTCTTATGCCCATTTCGTAGATAGAAAGCTGAAGATCAGCAAGTTTGAAGTTTGGGGTGCACCGTGTTCTTCCTCCTATCTCTTCAACGCTCCCAGAATAATCTCCAGTCTTCTTTTTTCTTTTTTTAAAGCAGTCAAATTTAGCAATGGGGGGGGGTCCAGTCTTCTTAATTTCAACCCCTAGGGGAGGGGGTCCTCCTCAATTTTTTCTCATCACCAGCCTTCCTCTCCTCCTGTTAACCCAGCCACCCTGGGACTCTTTCATTTCCTAGACAAAACCCATGATAGTTCACTTTGCAGCTCGTTTGTTTTAGGTGTCACTTTGGGTGTCTCCTTTGCCACATGGACGGCCCAATGTAGGTCACTATTAACTGATTTCTCTCTGTCCTGTTCGCCAAAATGGGTCCCCAGCTCGGTGCATCCTCTTCAGTGTCTCCTACACAGGGTGTCTTGGGGGGGGACCCCGCCCCCTAGGGGTTGAAATTAAGAAGACTGGACCCCCCACTGCTAAATTTGACTGCTTTAAAAAAAGAAAAAAGAAGACTGGAGATTATTCTGGGAGCGTTGAAGAGATAGAAGGAAGAACACGGTGCACCCCAAACTTCAAACTTGCTGATCTTCAGCTTTCTATCTACGACAGGGACCCAAACAGGGCTGGGTCTTGGGGGACCTTGAATGGCGCCACATTGACTTGGGGACTTTATCACGTAAGCGCTAAGGAGCCCCGGAAGGTTCTTGAGCAGGGGAAGGGACAGAACAAGCGCTTTCTCCACGGGGCTCGGTCGGCCTGTGCCTTCCTCTCCCGTCGCTCCTTGGTAAACGCAGCAAAGGGCGCCAGGCATAGCCTCCAGCGTGAAGCGCGCTTGTCGCTCTGGCAACGGAGTCCGGAAGAACCACGGAGACGCAGCCCCAGAGCGCAGAGCGGTCGCCCCGGGCCAGCGAGGCACGGAGTGCTAGAAAGATGCGTCGGACCGATTGTCACGTGGGAGGCCGTGCGAAGGCGGGACTTCCGGCGGCCCGGTATTTTTTTTCCGGTTGTTGGCCCCAGGCGGCCCCTCCCCGACTGGGCCTTGCGCCCCCCGCCCCCCGCGGCCCCCCGCGGCCGGGCCCGCCGCCACCATGAAGAAATTCTTCCAGGAGATCAAAGCTGACATCAAGTTCAAGGGCGCGGGACCCGGTCAGAAGCTCACAGAATCCGCGGGGTGCGTGACGAGCGCTGGGCTTGAGGCCCTGGGGGCGCAGGGAGGGCCGGGAGAGGGCAAGCGGTGGGGAGGGCGGCCGAGAGTCGGGGGAAGGGGCGAGGAGACAGAGTCTCACTTTGTTGCCCAGGCTAGAGTGAGTGCTGTGGCGTCAGCCTAGCTCACAGCAACCTCAAACTCCTGGGCTCAAGCAATCTCCTGCCTCAGCCTCCCCCAGTAGCTGGGACTACACAGGTATGCACCACCATGCCCGCTAATTATTTTTTTTCTATATATATTAGTTGGCCAATTATTTCTATTTATAGTAGAGACGGAGTCTTGCTCTTGCTCAGGTTGGTTTCAAACTCTTGACCTTGAGCAATCTGCCTGCCTTGGCCTCCCAGAGAGCTAGTATTACAGGCGTGAGCCATGGCACCCGGCCTTCCTGTCTTTTTTTTGCTAACCTGCCCACCCTTGAGTGGAGGCAAGCGTGGAGGTGCGGACCAATGAGAAGATGGTCACTGGGGTCTGGACTAGACTGGGTACAGATGGGGAAATTGAGGCCTGGTGAAGGGCAGGCCATGTTCAACGTTCATATATCAAGTTCAAGGCCAGAATGCACTTCCGCTGGTCCACCCTCCCAGGCCCTGCCAATTCAGTGCACACTTCTCCCCCGGACTTGAGCCAGCAAAGAAAAGCAGCCTGCCAGAGATTCCCCATCAGCCCCTGGGGGAGCTATGTCCAGCAGCTGGAAAGATCAGGCTCTGATAGAAACGGGAGCAGAGGGAGGTGGGGAGGGCCTGAGGAGCCACTTTGGACCCCAAACTGTCAGGCTGAGGCAGTAGGAATCCCCACATCCTCCCAGATCAGAGCCTGGATGACAAAAGGTTACACTGTCTGTCACCTCCTATTACTTCCTGTTGCCCCAGAAGTGTGACTGCACTTGGCCAGAGGAAGCTAAGGTTTCAACAGCACTGCCCCTGCTCTCTCTTTGTAAAATGCTCCCCTAATCAGCATGCCTGACCAGATGCGGTGCTCACACCTGTAATCCTAGCACTTTGGGAGGCCAAGGCGGGAGGATCACTTAAGCCCAGGAGTTCGAGACCAGCCTGGGCAACACAGTGAGACCCTCGTCTCTACAGAAAATTAAAAAATTAGCCAGGTGTGGTGGCATGCTCCTGTAGTCCAGCTACTCAGGAGGCCTGAGGCAGGAGGATCGCTTGAACCCAGGTTGGAGCCTGCAGTGAGTTATGATTGGCCACTGCACTGCAGCCTGGGCAACAGAGCCAGAGCAAGACTTTGGTAAGAATAGAAAGAAAGAAGAAAGGAGGAAGGAATAAGGAGGAGAAGAAGGAGGGAAGAGAAATGAAGGAAAGAAAGAAGGAAGAAGGAGGAGGAAGGAGAAGGGAAAAGAAAGTGAGAGAGCTATAGTGAATTTATGACCTAGGTCTAAGAAGTCACACATTGTTGTTTGTCCGTTATTCTAATTGTTAAAAGTGAGTCACTAAATGTCGAGCCCATACTCAAGTAAGAGGAAATAAGTTCTGCTTTTTGAAGAGAGAAGTGCCAAAGAATTGTGGACATTTTTTTTTCAGATAGGGCCTTTAAGGAGGTGATTAAGATTTAATGAGGTCATAAGGGTGGAGCCCTGATCCACTAGGATGGGTGTCCTCATAGCTCTGTCTCTGCTATGTGAGGACACAGGGGAAGGTGGCCATCTGCAAGCCTGTAAGAGAGTCCTCACCAGAACCAACCATGATTTTGGACTTCCAGTCCCCAGAATGGTAAGAAAGTAAATTTCTGTTATTTAAGGTCCCCAGTCTATGTCATTTTGCTATGGCAGCACAAGCCAATTAATGCACAAGTTATCTAACCAAAAGAAATGAAAACAAAAACTTCCACAGAAGAACTTGCATAGTAGTATTCATGGCAGCATTATTCGTAACAGCCAAAGAGTAGAAATAACCCAGCTGGTGTATGGATAAACAAAATGTGGCATATCCGTATGATGAAATACTATTCTGCAATAAAAAGAAATCAGGTATTAATACTTCAAAACATTATGCTCAGTGGAAGAAGCCAGACAAAAGATCACATATTGTATGATTCCAAAATCATGTAACATTTGATGAAATGGCCAAAAAAGGCAAATCTACCAAGACAGAAAGTAGATTAGTGGATGTCTTGGGCTGGGTTTGGACTGTACAGTGACTGCAGATGGATATGAAGTTTCTCTTTAGGGTGATGGAAATGTTCTAAATTTAGATTGTGGCAATGGCTGTACAATTCTGTAAACAGCTAATGAAATTCAATGAATTGTACACTTAAAACAGGTGAATTTCTTGGTAGGTAAATTATGTATCAATAAAGCTGTTTTTTAGAAAAAGATCTCTTAGGCTCCTATGTGGAGAGAGGCTATAGGTAGAAATTTCCAGATAAAACTGACAATGCCCAGTTAAACCTGAATTGCAGATACAAAAAGAATGATTTGTTTAGTGTAAGTATATCCCATGCAATATTTTTTAAAGTTGTTACTACATTGCTACATGATTGAACCTACAGGACATTAGTATGCTCTGAGAATTAAGCCAGGAACAAAAGAACAAATACTGTATGATTCTGCTCATGTGAGGTCCCTAGAGTCTTCAGATGCACAGAGACAGAAAATAGAATAGAGGTTACCAGGAGTTCGGAGTGAGGGGAGTTATTATTTATGGGCAGAGTTTCTGGGAAGATAAGAAGTCCTGGAGGCAGGTGGTGATGATCGTTGCATAACAATGTGAACGTATTATACTTAATGCCACTAAGCTGTGAACTTAAACATGGTTAAGTTGGACGCAGTGGCTCACACTTGTAGTCCCAGCTACTTGGGAGGCTGAGGCAGGAGGATTGCTTGAGCCCAGAAGTTTGAAGCTGCTGTCATGGCAAAAAAAGGGAAGGAAGGGAGGGAGGGAGGGAAAGAGAAAGAAAAGAAAGTTAAAATGGTAAATTCTATATTGTCCATTTTATAATAAAAAAATACTGTACATATCAAATAAAAATATCTGACATATAGTTCTAAAAAATGGTTACAATGTAAATTTGTTCTATTTTTAATTGTTTTAAAGGTTAGTCAAGTGGAGCAATGTAAATGTAATGTTACATATATTTTATAACAATAACAAAAAAAGTGTTGTGGATTTGAAATTCAGATCTAACTGGGCTTCCTGTCTTTTTCTTTTCTTTTTTTTTTTTTGAGACAGAGTCTCACTTTGTTGCCCAGGCTAGAGTGAGTGCGTGGCGTCAGCTAGCTCACAGCAACCTCAAACTCCTGGCTCAAGCAATCTCCTGCCTCAGCCTCCCCCAGTAGCTGGGACTACACAGGTATGCACCACCATGCCCGCTAATTATTTTTTTTTCTATATATATAGTTTTGGCCAATTAATTTCTATTTATAGTAGAGACGGAGTCTTGCTCTTGCTCAGGTTGGTTTCAAACTCTGACCTTGAGCAATCTGCCTGCCTTGGCCTCCCAGAGAGCTAGTATTACAGGCGTGAGCCATGGCACCCGGCCCTTCCTGTCTTTTTCTTTGCTAAACCTGCCCACCCTTGAGTGGGAGGCAAGCGTGGAGGTTGCAGGACCAATGAGGAAGATGGTCACTGGGGTCTGGACTAGACTGGGGTACAGATGGGGAAATTGAGGCCTGGTGAAGGGCAGGCCATGTTCAAGTTCATATATCAAGTTCAAGGCCAGAATGCCTTCCGCTGGTCCCCACCTCCCAGGCCCTGCCAATTCAGTGCACACTTCTCCCCCGGACCTTGAGCCAGCAAAGAAAAGCAGCCTGCCAGAGATTCCCCATCAGCCCCTGGGGGAGCTATGTCCAGCAGCTGGGACAAGATCAGGCTCTGATAGAAACCGGGAGCAGAGGGAGGTGGGGAGGCCTGAGGAGCCACTTTGGACCCCAAACTGTCAGGCTGAGGCAGTAGGAATCCCCACATCCTCCCAGATCAGAGCCTGGATAGACCAAAGGTTAACCTGTCTGTCACCTCCTATTACTTCCTGTTGCCCCAGAAGTGTGACTGGCACTTGGCCAGAGGAAGCTAAGGTTTCAACAGCACTGCCCCTGCTCTCTCTTTGTAAAATGCTCCCCTCTAATCAGCATGCCCTGACCAGATGCGGTGGCTCACACCTGTAATCCTAGCACTTTGGGAGGCCAAGGCGGGAGGATCACTTAAGCCCAGGAGTTCGAGACCAGCCTGGGCAACACAGTGAGACCCTCGTCTCTACAGAAAATTAAAAAAATTAGCCAGGTGTGGTGGCATGCTCCTGTAGTCCCAGCTACTCAGGAGGCTGAGGCAGGAGGATCGCTTGAACCCAGGAGTTGGAGCTGCAGTGAGTTATGATTGGGCCACTGCACTGCAGCCTGGGCAACAGAGCCAGAGCAAGACTTTGGTAAGAAATAGAAAGAAAGAAAGAAAAAGAAGGAGAGGAATAAAGGAAGGGAAAGAAGGAAGAGTGAAGAAAGAAGGAATAGAAGGAAGAAAAAGAAGAAGAAGGAGGGAGGAGGGGAGGGAAAAAGAAAAGATGAGAGAGCTATAGTGAATTTATGACCTAGTCTAAGAAGTCACACATTGTTGTTTGTCCGTTATTCTAATTGTTAAAAGTGAGTCACTAAATGTCGAGCCCATACTCAAGTAAAGAGAAATAAGTTCTGCTTTTTGAAGAGAGAAGTGCCAAAGAATTGTGGACATTTTTTTTTTTTTGAGATGGGGTCTCCCTGTGTTGCCCAGGCTGGTCTCAGAATCCGGCTCAAATCATCCTCCTGGCTCAGCCTCCTGAGTACCTGGGATTATGGTTCACCACACTGTGGACATACATTAAACCACCACAACTAGACACCTATATTTGAGAACTTTTAACATTTTCCTTATGCACTTCATAGGTTGGTGCATGAATATATATCCGTGTATATATGTATTGCTTTTATTTTTATTTTTTTTGAGACATGGTCTTGCTCTGTTTATACAGCTAGAGTGCAGTGGTGTCATCACACCTCACAGCAACTTCTAACTCCTGGGCTCAAGCGATCCTCCTGCCTCAGCCTCCAGAATAGCCGGCACTACAGGAAGGTACTATCAAGCCCAGCAAATTTTTCTATTTTTAGTAGAGACGGAGGGTCTCGTTCTTGATCAGGCTGGTCTGGAACTCCTGAGCTCAAGTGATCCTCCCAGCCTCAGCCTCCCAGAGTGCTGGGATTACAGGCATGAACCATCGCACCCAGCCTTGGAGTATTTTAAAGCACAGCTTGAATGCCATTTCGCCCATAAAAACATGAGAGTGCATGTCTATGAAAAATGTATTTTTTTTATTTTTATTTTTTTAGAGTTTCTCACTCCATCACACAGGCTGGAGTGCAGTGGCTTGATCGTAGCTCACTGCAACCTGGAACTCCTGGCTTCAGGTGATCGCAGTGCCGGGCCACCCCAAGTGCTGGATTACAGGTGTGAGCCACCATGCCCAGCCAAAAATGTATTTCTAAACATAACCACCATACCATTATCACCCCTAACAAAATTAACAATAGCTCCTTTATATTTCCTAATGCCCAGACATATTCCAGTTTCCCTAGTGGGCTCAAAAAATGTCCTTTGACTATTTCTGACCCCTTTATTTGATGTCACAAACTGCCTCCAGTCTGCTTTCTGCCATGTCTGCCGTAACACAGATTTTATTCATTTATTGTATTGTCTATCTTCCCTCCCCGACACCTCCAAAAACCGATGAGCTCCGTGAGGTCAGGGAATTTTGTCTTGTTTCTTCACTGCTGGTACAGAGCCGACTCTCAAGAAATATTAAAGTAATAAATTGATATATAATGACATCTGCCATTTATTGAAAACTTTCTAATTGCATCAGCATCCCACAATCTCCTGCGAGGCGGGTGCTATTCTTATGCCATTTCGTAGATAGAAAGCTGAAGATCAGCAAGTTGAAGTTTGGGGTGCACCGTGTTCTTCTTCCCTATCTCTTCAACGCTCCCAGAATAATCTCCAGTCTTCTTTTTTCTTTTTTCAAAGCAGTCAAATTTAGCAATGGGGGGGTGCCAGTCTTCTTAATTTCAACCCCTAGGGGAGGGGTCCTCCTCAATTTTTTCTCATCACCAGCCTTCTCTCCTCCTGTTACCCAGCCACCCTGGGACTCTTTCATTTCCTAGACAAAACCCATGATAGTTCACTTTGCAGCTCGTTTGTTTTAGGTGTCACTTTGGGTGTCTCCTTTGCCACATGGACGGCCCAATGTAGGTCACTATTAACTGATTTCTCTCTGTCCTGTTCGCCAAAATGGGTCCCCAGCTCGGTGCATCCTCTTCAGTGTCTCCTACACAGGGTGTCTTGGGGGGGACCCCGTCCCTAGGGGTTGAAATTAAGAAGACTGGACCCCCCACTGCTAAATTTGACTGCTTTAAAAAAAGAAAAAAGAAGACTGGAGATTATTCTGGGAGCGTTGAAGAGATAGAAGGAAGAACACGGTGCACCCCAAACTTCAAACTTGCTGATCTTCAGCTTTCTATCTACGACAGGGACCCAAACAGGGCTGGGTCTTGGGGACCTTGAATGGCGCCACATTGACTTGGGGACTTTATCACGTAAGCGCTAAGGGCCCGGAAGGTTCTTGAGCAGGGGAAGGGACAGACAAGCGCTTTCTCGACGGGGCTCGGTCGGCCTGTGCCTTCCTCTCCCGTCGCTCTTGGTAAACGCAGCAAGGGCGCCAGGCATAGCCTCCAGCGTGAAGCGCGCTTGTCGCTCTGGCAACGGAGTCCGGAAGAACCACGGAGACGCAGCCCAGAGCGCAGAGCGGTCGCCCGGGCCAGCGAGGCACGGAGTGCTAGAAAGATGCGTCGGACCGATTGTCACGTGGGAGGCCGTGCGAAGGCGGGACTTCCGGCGGCCCGGTATTTTTTTTCCGGTTGTTGGCCCAGGCGGCCCCTCCCCGACTGGGCCTTGCGCCCCCCGCCCCCGCGGCCCCGGCCGGGCCCGCCGCCACCATGAAGAAATTCTTCCAGGAGATCAAAGCTGACATCAAGTTCAAGGGCGCGGGACCCGGTCAGAAGCTCACAGAATCCGCGGGTGCGTGACGAGCGCTGGGCTTGAGGCCCTGGGGCGCAGGGAGGGCCAGGAGAGGGCAAGCGGTGGGGAGGGCGGCCGAGAGTCGGGGGAAGGGGCGAGACCTGGGGGCGGGGCAGGAGAGGGCGGAGGGCGGGAGTCGGTGGGACAGGAGCGAGGCTTCGGGGGGTGAGGAGCGAAGCTTGGGGGCGGGGCAGAGGGGGAGGGGAGAGAGACGGGGGGGGCCCCCGGGGGGTGAGAGTGGGGGAGGGGAGGACCTGGGGTGGGGCACGAGGGGGCGGGGCGTGGGGGAGGCGAGATCTCTGGGGGCGGGGCAGGAGGAGGGTCGGAGGGAGTGGGTGGGGGCAGGGCCTACGTGAAGTTGCGCATGGGTGCACTGTGCTGGGTGGAGAGTCGTCGTGAGACTTAGTGTCCCTGGGAATGGGACTCTGGTTCTGGTGCACGTGGGAGGACGGGATGAGGGACCAGAGTCTGGAAGGCCAGGGAGGCAGTAGTTGGGAGGTCTGGGTGAATTGGGGGCGCTGGGAGAGAGTGAGGAAGATCTGGGAGGAGCGTGGAGGTGTGGGTGGACGTAGGGGACTCTTGACAGATTGGGTGATGGGCGAGGGAGGGGAGGAGGGTGCATGGCCTGATTAGTGTCCCCATTGTCTGGGGAGGATTTGGGAAAAGACAAAAACCTGGGTATGGCTGAGCTGGGAGGGTGGAGGGCCAGGGGAGAGGTGGAGCTGGTAGGTAGAGAAAGGGAGTCTGGAAGGGCTGGGCCGATGCAGGGGGCTGCGGCAGGAGGTGGTGGGGATGGAGGAGACAGGCTGTCAGGCGGGACAGGGGTCCATGAGGAACAAAAGAAGAGTTGTTAAGAGGTGGGGGCCAAACGGGGATAGGAGAAGAGGCAGGGAGGCAGGGGTGGGGGTGAGGGAGGTGGGGGTGCAGTGAGGACATCCGGGTTCTTGGAGGGAGGGAGGGAGCTGAGCAGGAGAAGGGAGGATGGGATGGGGGGGTGGGCAAGCCAGGCTGCTGTCATTGATTCAACACTATTGGGGGAGGAGGTTGTGGCTGCTGGGACTGGGTGTGACAGGAAGCATGAGGGGCATGTGGGTGATGGCCAGGTCAGACCTGGGGCTAGGAGGAGAGAGAAGGGCTCAAGTGACACTGCAGACTCAGGGCTTGTGGGGGATGTTGGCTATGGAGAAGCCTGGGGCTACCATACGAGCGAGGGCTCATCTAGTGGGGGCCGATGGACAGGTAACCCAGTAGGCACATGCCGAGCAATCACCGCTCGGGCCAGGAAGAAGAGTGAGCGGGGTTAGGGTAGCATCTGGTGGAGGGAACCATGAGCTGGTCTGGGAAGGCATCTCTGAGAAGGTGACATCTGAGCTGGACTTGGACCAGGTGAGACTCAGCCTTATGGAAATCAGTCCCCTCCACATCTCCCTGCCCCAGCCCCAGCCCTTCCCTGTCGTCACCCCAGCCCCAGGCAGGACATCTCAGGCAGAAGGCATAGACAGTGCCAGGGTTCTGTGTGGGGACCAGCTGGGGTGTGGGAGCCCAGTGTAGACTGGGAGGAGCAGAGGAGGGCACGGGCCAGGCTGTGCAGGGCCCCTGGGACTTTGTGGCATGTGGCGGGCCTTGTGCAGAGGAGTGGCACTTGCTGGCTTCGGAGAGTCCATGACGGGTCCGGGTGAGGTGTCTCAGGAAATGCTGTTTTTATGGAAAGATCTAAACATCATTTGGGGCCAGGGCGGGTGTATGTGAGTCATCTCTTCTTCAGCTCGAGATTCTTGGCTGTGGGGGTGACTAGAGAGAGGCAGGGATGGCAGGAAGCAGGTCCCAAGAGTCCTCGGGACACTTGTGTGTCTGGGTGGAGCCGGAGGAGTGAGGGGCTGAACGGAGAGCCCGGGCTCCTAGAGGCTTCCGTGGACCTAGAGCTCAGGTGATTTGCACTACTGGGGTCGGGTGGGGGAGCGCCGTGGAGGAGCGGAGCAAGTTGGGAGGAGGGACTTCTGTGTGCAGCCCGTCTCCAGGCCACCGCACGCTAAGTAGATTATGGAACTGTCTGCCACATGGGGTCGTTCCAGCAGGGCAGAGAGGGATTAAATGAACGTGACTCATGCCCAGTGTGCTGAGGCGCCCAGGGTAACGCTGGTTCTGTTGTCAGTCCTGCCACAAGGATCAGGTGACATGGGGCGTGTCACCTGAGCTTCCATGAACCTCTCAGGTTTGCGAAAAGGGGATCTCGAGACTTCCCGTTCAGAGGGTGAACCAGCTGAGCTGGGCATGCTCCCCGCAGGGGCCTGTCACACAGCAGGTGTTTGGCAGAGCTTGCATGGTGGGGTCCAGGCTCGGGCGGGGTAGGGGGAGGGCCTGACACCCCTTGGGTCTCATCAACTCCTGAGGATATCAGGGTGCCTGCACACGTGGCAGGGCTGCCGTTACCCACTTCACAGGTGAGGACACTGAGGCCCAGCTGGGGCAGGACTTGCCCAGAGGGGCAGAGCTCAAAGCAGACCTGGCATCTGCTGCCTCCAGGGGCTCTTCCACCCATAACAGAACCTTCTGGTGGCCGTGGGTGGCCCTGGGAAAGAGGCATCCCGGCCCACGGCATCTGATGGGGCAGGTGGCAGGGGTGGGGTGGGGCAGAAGCTTTTCTGTCTGACACCCCGTCCGCCCTGCTGGCAGTCCCGGGAGGACACTCATGTTCCCGGGTCGCTCGGCAGGGAGAAGGCCCCCAGAGAGAAGCCCAACCAGCCGGCCCTCAGGCAGCCACGCCAGGGACCCACCGATGAGGCGCAGATGGCAGCCGCCGCTGCCCTGGCGCGGCTGGAGCAGAAGCAGCCCAGGGCGCGGGGCCCCACGTCGCAGGACTCCATCAGGAACCAGGGTGAGCCGGCCCTGCCCAGCTGAGGCGGGGTGCGGTTTGCGGGTCCCAGGCCCGGTGCTTAGCTCTGGGTGGAAAAGGTTACACGGCTGACGACGGGCGGGGGGGAGGGTTTAAAGTCACCACTGGGAGCGTGCCCGCTGCGGGGACCCGCAGCCTGCTGTGGGGGGGCATGGCCACCAAGGGCTTCCTCCAAGAAGGGAGGTGGGGGCTGAGACTGGAGGACTAGCGGGTGGTCAGGAGACGTGGCAGGGGACACAGGGCAGAGGGGCGGGTGCAGACTGAGCCCTGCAGGAGAGGCCACAGAGGGCCAGGCCAGGGCAGGGGCCCCGCGCCATTCGTCCATCCCCGTCTCCCTCCACTTGTTCCTTCCTTCCAGTGAGAAAGGAGCTTCGAGCCGAAGCCACCGTCAGCGGGAGCCTGGAGGTTCCAGGGAACAATGTGGTAAGAGCATGGCCAGCTGTGGCGTCACACCTCGGGGGTGGCTTGGGCTGGGGCCAGCTCGGACCCCGTGAAGGGCCCACCAGGAGAGTGGAGACACGGAAGACATGTCACCTGTGTGCTTGGGTCCCCAGGGTCTTTGGGAGTCCCCTCTTCAGGCAGTGTCATCTGGGACCTTCAGGGCTCAGCACTTGGCCCTGGCTTGGGCCCCAAGGGTTGGGCGGGACTCACTTTAGTGCACTGGCTGCGCCCCAAGCCCTTGAGCGTGGGCGCCGTTACACGTCCCACTTTTCCAGAGAGAGTGCAGAGGCTCAGAGAGGTGGCGCCGCCGTCCTGTCTCCCACACCTCAGAACCTGCAAGGCCGGGAGGGAACCACATCGGTGGCCCCAAAGCCCGTGCCCTGGCACTGCCCTCTCCTGCTTGCCGTGGGAATTGAGGGGCTCCATGGAGACGGGTATAATCAGGGAGGTCTTCCTGTAGGAGGTGGGTCCCGGGAGCTTGGCCGAAAGGGGCTTCAGAGCAGCCTGAGGAGTCACTGAATTTTAGCGTGGAAGAGACCCCAGAGGTTGCCTAGAAATCAAGGCCGGGAGAGTGGCCAGGAAATGTCGAGGACACAGGACCTCCCGACTCCAGCCCAGAGCCCCTTCCTCTCTAGTGCGAGAGGTGCCGGGCTGCCACTTGTCCAGCGCTCAGCCTGTCAGGAGCTCGGGTGCTACATGCTCTCTGTTCCCTGCCTTGTTTAATTCTGAGCTGGCCCTGCAGGGACATTTCACAGACCAGGAAACAGGCTTGGAGGGGTCTGGTTACTTGGCCAGAGTGTCTCCAGCAGCGAACGGGTGGAAGGGATGGTGTGGGGGGGTCTAAGGGACACACCCTCAGGACTGTGGCACTTGAGTGGCTCCAGGGTGCCTCTGTCCACAGCCCAGACCTGGACACTTTCGCCCCCATAGGTACCTGAGCCCAAAGAGGAGGGCTCGACCCACCTGGCGGTGCCTGGTGTGTACTTCACCTGCCCGCTCACCGGGGCCACCCTGAGGAAGGACCAGCGGGACGCCCGCATCAAAGAGGCCATTCTCTCGGTGAGTGGCAGTCCTGTGTCCCCCTGTCCCCCACCACCCTGGAGCTTACGGTGCCCCAGCCCCCCCCCAGGCCCCCCTGGGTGGCTTCTGGCCCTGGCAAAGTCCTGCAAGCGCTTTGATTGTATTTCCGCTTTTATTCGCTTTTGTTTCTGTTCTGATCTCTCTAAAGAGGGACACGTGTACAGAACTCAAAAGGCACAAGAGCGATGGAGAAGGGCTTCCTCCCGCCCTCTCGGGCCACCCTCCCTGGGGCCCCTCTAGGTGGCGAGGTCCCTTACCAAGACACCCTGCGTGTATGCAAACTATCGATGTACGTGTGTGTCTGCTCCCATACTTTTGTTTCTTGTTTTCCGTAAAAGGTCATGTATCGTTCACACTTAGCATAGAAACTCTGAGGTGTCACATCAGCACAGAAAGAACTTCCACAGTAGTTTTTTTCTTGTACAGTAAGTCCGCAGTTGACGTTGTCAGTCCTCACTTAAGGTTGTCAGGTTCTTAGAAATTGTGACTTAATACTTGAAACGACACATAACAAAACCAATTCTTTTTTCATTGTTATAAAACAACAACGTTGGAGTAATTGAGGTTATTAGAGGACGTACTACGTTGTTTCACTTAAAGTCGCAGAGTCTGAGAAACCAGCGATGTTAAGGGAGAGCTCACTGCAATTCTTTTTTCCCTTCCTTCCCTTCCCTTCCGTTTCCTTTCTCTCTCTCTCTCTCTCTCTCTCTCTCTCTCTTTTTCAGCATATTATGGGGGTACGAGTGTTAAGGATACATATATTGCCCATGCCCCCCCTCCGCCCTTGAGTAAGAGCTTCAAACGTGTCCATCCCCCAAACGTTGCACATCTTACTCATTGTGGTTGTATGCACCCATCTCCTCCTCCTCCCTCCCACCCTCCCGACACCCGATACATGTTATTCCTATATGTCCACTTAGGTGTTTATCTAATACCAATTTGCTGGTGAGTCCATGTGGTGCTTGTTTTTCCATTCTTGAGATACTTCACTTAGTAGAATGGGTTCCAGCTCTATCCAGGAATATACAAGAGGTGCTAGATCACCATTGTTTCTTAAAGCTGAATAGTAGTACTCCATGGTATACATATACCACATTTTATTAATCCACTCATGAATCGATGGGCACTTGGGTTGTTTCCACAGCTTTGTAATTGTGAATTGTGCTGCTATAAACATTCGAGTGCAGGTGTCTTTTTCATAAAGTGACTTTTGATCTTTTGGGTAGATGCCTAGTAGTGGAATTGCTGGATCAAATGGTAGATCTACTTGTATTGCTTTGAGGTATCTCCATATTGCTTTCCACAGAGGTTGAACTAGTTTGCAGTCCCAACAGCAGTGTAGGAGTGTTCCTCACTGTAATTCTTTTTTTTTTTTGAGACAGAGTCTTGCTCTGTTGCCCAGGCTAGAGTGAGTGCCCTGGCATCAGCCTAGCTCATAGCAACCGCAAACTCCTGGGCTCAAGCAATCCTCTTGCCTCAGCCTCCCAAGTAGCTGGGACTACAGGCATGAGCCACCATGCCCGGCTAATTATTTCTATATGTATTAGTTGGCCTATTAATTTCTTTCTATTTATAGTAGAGATAGGGTCTCGCTCTTGCTCAGGCTGGTTTCGAACTCCTGACCTGGAGCAATCCGCTCAGCCTCCCAGAGTGCTAGGATTACAGGTGTGAGCCACTGCGCCTGGCCCTCACTAATTCTTTATCAGGAGCTAACTTCGAACTCGAAGAGAAATTGCAAGAGTCGTACTGAGAACACTCATATCCTTTGACCTAGGGTGTGAGTTCTCTAATGCCGTTGTAACAAATTTCTACAAACTCGGTGGCTTAAGACAACACACATTTGTTCTTACCATTCTGGGGTCAGAGTCGGACATGGGCCTCTGTGGGCTAAAATCAAGGTGTGGCAGGGCTGGTCCCTCCTGGGGCTCCAGGGGAGAACTGTCTCCCGCCTTTCCCGGCGTCTAGTGGCCGCCCGTGTCCCCCGGCTCGGGGCCCCTCCTCCCCCTCCAGAGCCAGCAGCGAGCGTCTTCCAGTCTCTCTGCCCCAACCATCCCGCCCCTCGTGGGAGGACCCTGCACTGACACTGGGCCCCTGGGTCATCTAGGGTGACCTCCCTGTTTTAAGGTCAGCTGATTAGCAGCCTCAGTTTATCTGCTGCTAATTCCCCTGTGACTTAACACATGCACAGGTTCCAGGGCTCAGGAGGGGCTGTCTTTGTTGGGGGCAGGGGGACATTCTCCCCGCCCAGATGTGCCAGGTGTTGACATTTTTGCCACATTTGCTTTATCACTCGTGTGTTTCTCTCTGAACCACTGGAAGGCAAGTTGCGCATTCTCTCGAGTGACTGCAGAATGCTCCCCTGCAAGTTATTCTGTCACTCACGTAACCCACCTCCCTGTTGATGAGCACACAGGACATTTTTCACCTCTTGCTAGTCAAGCACAGTTGTGCCATGAAAAACCTTACCTGACGTCACTTCAGTGTAGGCTCAGCTCTAGAACTGCAGTTGTTGGGACAGGGGACACTGCACTGGTGGTTGGTTGTAACCTGATCTTCCATAGGGGCTGGGGGGAGTCACACCCCCTCCAGCAGCCATTTCCCTGTCCCTCCACCACTGTGGATTGCTAATAAACTTTTTAATCTTTACCCAAATTGACAGGTGCAAATAACATCTCAGGATAGATTTAATTTGCATTTCCCTTGTTTTGGGTTATGTTGGTCATGTTTGCACATTTTTATTGGGTAGTGGCTCTTTTTTTCTTATTGATTTGTAGGTACTCTTTTTTTTTTTTTTTTGAAACAAGAGTCTTACTTTACTTTGTTGCCCAGGCTAGAGTGAGTGCCGTGGCATCAGCCTAGCTCACAGCAACCTTAAACTCCTGGGCTCAAGCAATCCTCCTGCCTCAGCCTCCCGAGTAGCTGGGACTACAGGCATGCGCCACCATGCCTGGCTGATTTTTTTCTATATATATTAGTTGGCCAATTAATTTCTTTCTATTTATAGTAGAGACGGGGTCTCGCTCTTGCTCAGGCTGGTTTCGAACTCCTGACCTGGAGCGATCCTCCCGCCTCGGCCTCCCAGAGTGCTAGGATTACAGGCGTGAGGAGCCACCGTGCCCGGCCTGTAGGTACTCTTTACATATTAGGGAATTTAGGCTTTTGCCTGTGACATGAGTTGCAGATATTTTCCTCCAGTTTTTTTTGGTTCTGCTTTTGGTCACTTTGCCACATAGAATTTTTGATGTCTGTATGATTAAATGTCTCATATTTTATGGCTTCTGGGTGTTGGGTTATACTTTGAAAGGTCTTCTCCACTTCCATGCTCAAATAATCCTGTGGTTTTTCTAGTGTTTTGTTGTTTTGCTTGTGTGTTGTGTTACAATGTTTAAGCTTTAGACCCAACTAGAATTTATCCCTGTGTGTGTAAACTATGAGGTGGGGAGCCCATGTTATTTCTTTCCAGATAGCTGCTGAATTTTTACTCAATATATTGAAAACACTGTCTTTTGCTCATGGGTATGGAACCCCCCTGTATCCCACGGTGGATTCCTGTGTGGGTCTGGGTTCCTTTCTGGATGCCGTGTTCCCTTGTGCCTTGTCTGTTCACGAGCCCTGGCCCTGACTTAGCCTGAGGGCAGCATTTGGAGCAGCGGCTCTTCCCAGGGTGGGTGTGCTTTCCCGGGGGCTCTGGGGACGCCCTGCCCACCTAGCTGTCGTCGTGTCTCTCTCTGCAGACCCACTTTCTCTGCCCTGCGATGTTCCTGCGCCCTCTGTCTGTCTCAACCTGGCAACTAAACTGACAGGCTGGGCTGGGTCACAGTTTGCAGTTGGCAGGAGAGTGGCTCAGTTTGGGTCATTGGTCACTGTGACACAGAGGTGGCTGCGGAGTGCTCCTTGCTGTGCAGTTGGGGTCTCTGGGGGTGGGGCAGAGGCTGTGGGCTGCCTGGGCAGGTGGTCTGTGTCACATGTCGCCCCAGGCGGCACTGCTGTTCACCACCCCCAGCTGCCTTTCTGGGCTGAGGAGGGACGTGGGATTGTAGCCACGTGCAGGGTGGAGTGTGAACAGATTTGTTCCCCAAACTTGTCCCTCCCTTAGGTGACCTGTCCTCAGCCTCTCCCTGCTGGGATGCTGTTTGCAGTCCCCAGGCTGGCTCTGGGAAGCCCCTGATCTCCAGCTGTGACTCCCCCTCCTCTGTAGAAGCAGGTGGGACCCCGGGAGCTGCGGGGCTGGGCCACCCCCATGCACGCCAGACATGGAGGGTCACAGACCTCACTTGTATCCTCTCTGCTACCTGGCATCCCTGTGACCCTGGAAGGGGACTTGCGGCCTCTCCTCAGAAACCTGGGAGTCCTTCCAGAGCGTGCCTCGCGGGGCCGTGAGGAGGCCAGGGATGGTGGCCACGGTGGCCGGTAGTTCAGTGAGCAGCTGCGGCCTCCGTGGGTCTCAGTGCTGGAGCCGAGTGCTGCAGCCACGGTGCCAGGCGGGGATCTGTTTTTGTGAATGTGGCCCGCAGGAGGTGAGGGCAGACTCCTCTCTCCGTGCTGGCTACGGCAGGACCAGGCAGGGCCGGGCCACCCGGGGTCTCTTCCGTGTGCTCAGGACACGTGGTTGAGTTGGCATCAGCAAGATGCTACTGCTCTGCCAGGAGAGGGTCATCGAGACCTTCTTCCCAGTCCGGTCACCTGGGCAGCGAGAGGGGCGGGTGGTCCCCAGGCCCGTGATCTCCCACACCTCCCCTCCCCATCCCAGCACTTTGCCACCGACCCAGTGGCCGCATCCATCATGAAGATCCACACGTTCAACAAGGACCGCGACAGGGTGAAGCTGGGCGTGGACACCATTGCCAAGTGAGTGTCGCCCCTGCCAACCCGATACAGCCTTTACCCCCCACCTCCACCTGACCTGCCCAGGTGGCCTGGAAGGAGCATGGGCTGGGGGTGAGGCCAGAGCCACCCCAGCCCCCCATCTACCCCGTCTGAGCCTTCGGGGAAGGGGTTGGGCCTCTTGGGTCTCAGATTACCTGTCTGCAAAATGAAGGGGTTTAAGGAGTCAGGGTTCCCAGCCCTGGCTCCTTTGGGGACCTGAGGACTGCAGAAGAGGCAGGGTCCCCCCACCAGGGGCCACCGTGGGCTCTGCAGAGTGACCTCCATTCCCATGGTACTCCTCATCCCCCACGCCCCGGGGTCCCTGGGCTGTTTTTTTGATCTGACCACAGGCCAGGCAAGGCTCTCAGATGCCGTCCCCTGGGGGTGGGAGTTAGAGAGCCGGGCGGGCACGGGTGGCCCACCTGGGCTTGTGTCCTGTCCACCCCTCCCCCCCAGGTACTTGGACAACATCCACCTGCATCCAGAGGAGGAGAAGTACCGGAAGATCAAGCTGCAGAACAAGGTGTTCCAGGTGGGCGCTGCCTTCCAGGGCGCTCAGCCTGGCGTGGCCGCACCGCACAGGACCCCACTGGTGGTGGGGGCCGAGGGCCTGCAGGCAGCAGGTGTGGCCTGCTCAGGGCAGGGGCCAGGGCAGAGCTGGCAGAGCAAGGGCTTTGTGCCCCAGAGTCACCCCAAGTCCGTGGGTCGCCGTCTCCCCCACCCCCAGCGCACCGACTCTCCTCCGGTTGCGGTCGTTGGGGAACACGTGGGCACGGGCAGGATTTCCACACAGGCTCTGGCCGCCCGGCCTGTGTTGGCTGCAGCAGTGTCCTGCTGGCGAGCGGGACACGAATTCCCTTCCCACCCGGAGGGCTTCTGGCCTCGCTGTCCATGCCTGGCTGTGGAGCCCGGTGCCCCGCCCTCTGAGCAGCGGTTAGCGCCCTGCTCCCGGGCAGACCTGGGGCTGGTCCCTTCAGGGTGGGGGTGCGGAGCCCTGTTGCTGTCGTGACCTCCAGCTCCCCCGCAGGAGCGCATTAACTGCCTGGAAGGGGCCCACGAGTTTTTTGAGGCCATCGGGTTCCAGAAGGTGATGCTTCCGGCTGCCGACAAGGGTGAGAGTGGACAGGCCTGGCCGTGGGGGCGGTGGGAGGGTCCGGCTAGCAGTGTGCCCACTCCCACCCCCCCCCCCCCCCCGTGCTGCCTGCAGAGGGCCCCGAGGAGTTCTACGTGCTGAGTGAGGAGGTGCTGGCCCAGCCCCAGAGCCTGGAGAGGCACAGGGAGCAGCTGCTCGCCGCCGAGCCCGTGCGCGCCACGCTGCTCCGGCAGCGCCGCATCTTCCGGCCGTCGCCCCTGGCCTCGCAGTTCGACTTGCCCGGGGACTTCTTCAACCTTACGGCAGAGGAGATCAGGCGGGAGCAGAGGCTCAGGTGGGCAAGGCGTCCGCAGGTGGGGTGGGTGGGCACACGGGGGCCAGCGGCCTGAGCCTCTCGCGCGCCCAGGTCGGACGCGGTGGACCGGCTGAGCGTGCTGCGGACCAAGGCCATGCGGGAGAAGGAGGAGCAGCGGGAGCTGCGCAAGTACACCTACACGCTGCTGCGCGTGCGCCTGCCCGACGGCTGCCTGCTGCAGGGTGGGTCCCCCCAGCCCAGGGAGGGCGGCTGGGTGGGCCCTGCGGGGTGTCCCAGCCCTGCTGACTGTCCCGCTCCCCAGGAACCTTCTACGCCCGGGAGCGGATGGCCGCGGTCTATGGGTTCGTCCGCGAGGCCTTGGAGAGCGACTGGCTGCCTTTCGAGCTGCTGGCCCTGGGAGGGCAGAAGCTGTCGGAGGACGAGAACCTGGCCTTGAACGAGTGTGGGCTGGTGAGTGAGTGTCCGCAGCCCCTTCTCCTCCCCAGGTGCTCTGTGGCTTCTCCCTGGTCCGAACGGGCAGGAGGGAGCTGTTCCGTGGCAGGCCCGTGCTCAGGAGCGGGGACCTGGGCAGAGCCAGCTGTGGATTCCTTCCTTCCATTTAGTGGCAGCATGGTCCTCAGCGAGTTCCTGACTCTGTGCCTCGGTTTCCCACCATAGCGCTGGGGGGAGGTGTCAGCTGTTGTGCTGGGCCCCATAGCCCTCTAAGGGGCAGAACCGAGCAGCCAGGCGGACGTGCAGGGGCTCAAGGGGGAGCAAGAGGGCGTCCCTGGCCCAGGTCGCCCTCAGAGGGGCAGTCGTAGGAATAGCCGGCTGCCTGGCTGTGTCCTCCCGCTGCGCTGCCACACGGAGAAGAGGTGATAGTCTGCTGCCCCTCGGCAGGTGCCCTCTGCCCTCCTCACCTTCTCGTGGGACGCGGCTGTGCTAGAGGACGTGAAGGCTGCGGGCGCCAAGCCCGACTCGTCCATCCTGAAGCCCGAGCTGCTGCTGGCCATCGAGATGCTCTCGTGAAATAAAAGCAGGGTTGGCCTCGGCCCCGTGTTCTGTCTCTCGCCCGCCTGTCCCTGTCCCCACGGAGCCTCCAGCCATCTCTGGAAACGAGTGCCCTGCGCCAGGGCACAGGAGGGGAGCAGGCTGCCCGGGGAGCCGCATGCAGAGGGAGGATGTTGAGATGCCCGAGCGCCCTGGAGAGGGCCTAGGGCGGCCGACAGCCCCGCCCTCCCCTGCCGGGCGCAGCAGTGTCACGGAGCCCCCAGGTGTCCCCGGCAGGAGAGCAGGTCTGCAGCACAGCCTGGTTCCCATGCAGAGGGTGCTGTGGCTGCCATGGGGGATGCTGGTAACACTTGTAACTAAATTATGAAACCAAATAAACAGGATGTTTGGATATAGCTTCCTGGCGCCTCATTCCAACCACGTGGCCCAAGGCAGAGCCAGCCACTGCGGCCGAGCGGCACCTGGGGTCTGGGCCGGCTGCTACTCGGGTGGGGCCAGGTCTGGCCATCCAGCTCCCCCAGGGGAGCCACCTGTTCTCAGGGAGGAGTTCCCCGGACGAGGCAGGGGCTGTGCTGAGCCCACGCCTGTCTTGCTGTGACTGGCAGAACTGTTCCCCGAAGACGTCCATGTCTTATTCCTGGAACCTGTAGCTGTTACTTCTTGTGGCAAAAGGAGCTCTGCAGATACAGTAAAGGATTTTAAGACAGGAGGTCACCCTGGATGACACGGGGACCCAGTGTCAGCATAGGGTCCTCCCATGAAGGGGTGGGGTCAGAGGCAGGCTGTGCTGCTGGCTCTGGAGGGGGAGGAAGGGACCTGCTGAGAAGGGTGGGACAGTTTTCCCTGGAGCCCCAGGAGGGACCGGCCCTGCCATGCCTTAATGTCAGCCAGCCAGGGCCGTGTCGGACTTCCGACCTCGAGAGCCGTGAGATGACAAGCGTGTTGCTTTAAGCTGCGAGCTGATTTGGCGCGGCAGCCGCAGGCCGTGCAAAGGGAGACGCGCCTGGGGCCCACAGCTGCCTGGCGGGAGAGGGGTCTGCAGCTGGGGGGGTGCCGGGGCCTGGGCTCTTGGCGGCCCCTGGATGGGCCCCTCAACCCAGGCTGGCCCCACCGGCTGGTCTTCCTGAGGACACCGGGGTCTCCTCCTCTAGGCTGTCGCCAGAGGCCTATGGCCACTGGCACCTGAGTGACAGACTCAAAACTTTGAGGCCTCAACTGTGATTTGGCCTCTCTGTCCTGCTCTGTCTCCCAGGCTGGAGTGTAGTGGCCTCGTCATAGCTCACTGCAGCCTCCAACTCCTGGGCTCAAATGATCCTCCTGCCTCAGCCTCCCGAGGAGCTAGGACTACAGGTGGGCACCACCATGTCCTCCAATGTGATTTAAAAACTATTCTCCTCTCACAGAGGATTCAGCCAGGAACCTCTTCATCACACTTGGGCCACCAGCAGCTGCCTGTTTCCCTCCCATGTCACCCCAACCTGTTCGCTGCCCTATCTCAGGCCCCAACACTACTCTGGGGGGCCGTGGATGCTCAGCTTAAGAATAGAGGCCCTTCACTCTGGTCCCTCCCATGTACCCTGTGTGCCCCTAATTGTCACTGGAACCTGAGTTGTCAGGTGTCCAGTAAAACTAGTCTGGACACGTTCCTGTCTTGCTTCCCGGCATGAAGACCTGGCCCAGGTGACACGTGTCCCTGATCAGTGTGGATGGATGAGGCCACCTGGCCAGGCCCCCTCACACTGCAACTGCGATGTTTGCAGCCCACAATGGGGCTGGGGAGGAGGGCCAGGGGAGTGTGGCCCCAGCCAACTCTGAAGTGCTCTGCACGGGCATAGCCAGCTCCTCTCCCTGTGGCAGTGGGGACAGACACCTCGACCCCGGGGCAGGGGGGATATCACCTCAAGACCCAGCACCCTTGGGACCCCGAGACATGCCTGACCTCGTTGAGGCACATGACCCAGCAAGGTCTGCAGGAACACACTCCTCGCCCACCCGAGCGCGGGACAGAGGGACGGCGCTGCCCGCAGGGCGCGAAGCTTCACAGGAGATGCCCAGCCCCCACGCGGGGCTGGACCGCAGGGAACGCACACCACTCAAGAGAGACTGCTCAGAGACAGGGCTAGACAGTTAAGTTTATACACGCCCAGCTGCGCCCAGGCGCCGCGTCACAGCAGAGGGCGGCCTCGCTGGTGTCTCAATTCATTTACAAGCGTTGGATCCCAGCCTGTCCCTGAGCCTGGGGGTGCGGCAGGCTTCCCCGTACAGGCCATCCCGTCTCAATAATGCTTCATTAAAGGGCAGATTAATATGCAGCTTTTGAGGACATTTTTACAAATACCAAGGAGAACCAATCAAGCATCCTATATAAACTTTCCGAGCCCCTGGGGGGGGGGGGCCGTGAAGCAGGACAAAGTGCTCTTTACACAGGAGTCGGGTCCGGTCACGCGTCTGGTCTGCGTCCGAGGACAGCCCGACCACGCCACACACACGCCGCCGGCCTGGCGGGCGCCCTCAGGAGGCGCTGAGCGGGCTGGCGGGCAGGGGGCTCTCGCTGGTGTCCATTCCCACGGCAGCCCCAGCTCCGGAAGCAGTTCCACACGTGGCCCGGACCTCTGGGGGCGAGAGGGAGGGTCTTGCACTAGCCGTGCCCAGGCTCCCTGGCGAGGAGCCCCCAGCCTGCTGCCAGTGGGGGGCTGAGACAGCCCTGGAGCCACATGGGGAGGAAGGGGAGGCCCAGGCTGCTAGTCCCCCACTGGAGAGCTCCGGCTGACGTGCCCCCACCCTCGCTCAGAGCAGGGGTGACCTGGGCCCCCTTCCACCACGCTGGCTCCCTGCACGCCTGCCCGAGGGCCTTCGCACCCATCTCAGCGAGGCCTTCCCCGAACCCCCGGGCACTATGGCCAGAGCAGCCCATGCTGGCTGTCACCATTACTGCCCCTGCATGTCGGTCCTCACATCTGCACCAGGGCCCTCCTCAATGCCACTGAGGGGCCAGCAGCAGCCCCGCCTCACACCTGTGCACTTTCTATTGTCACTTCTCAGCAAGCTTCCCAGGGCAAAGCCGAGGAAACTGAGGCAGCACCGAGGCTGAGGGGCGTACCTCAGGCTCCCAGAGCCACAGAGGCAGCTGCCCTGCTCTCCCTGTGCCTGCAGTGGTGCCCGGGCACCCTCCCCCGACAGGGCCTGGGCTGGAGCCTGCTGCCCAGGCGCAGGCAACCTGCCTGCCTCGGCCCTCCCTGGGCTTCAGCTCAACCCTGTGCTGTCTACAGAGCAAGGGGCAGGCACTGCCCCCCTTCCCTGCCAGTCCCAAAGCCCAGGTGAGGGAGCCCTCTTACCCCCAGCATCCAGGACATCCACGATCACACAGTCACCCTCCTCATCCTCCTCCTCCTCCGTGTCCGCCTGGAAGCCATCCATGTCCTCAGCACCGACCTAGGCAGACGGGGCACGGCTGTCGGCGGAGCAGGAGGCGTCCGCGCTGGCGCTCTGCGGGCGGCCGTGTCCCTGGGGCCCTTGAGAGGTGGCCCCTCCCCCCGACTCCCCACACACTGGGGAGCTCCCAACATCCTGGACCCAACTTGGCAACAAACCATCCAGACGTCAGAAGTCTGTCTGAGAGTCTATGACCAGAGGAAAACTTTGCAGGTTCTCGAAAATGAATTAAAGACAGATCTCCAAACACCACCAGCACCATCATCTACTTCAGCACGAAAGTGCGGTCTGAGCTGCTTAATGCCGTTTCGGGCAGCAATGGACCACATCACACGATGGTGGTCCCGACATCGTGACACCGTATCTGTGCTGCGCCTCCTCTGTGTTTAGAGACACAAATACTCACCATGTGTCGCAGCTGCGCACGGCATACAGGACAGAAACCTGGTGGGCAGGTGCACAGCCAGGAGCACCAGGCTAGACCAGGTGGCCCGGTGCTCAGCAGGCGCTAGCATCTAGGTTTGCCTACGTGCACTGATAGCCACACAGCGACGCACCGCCCTCAACATCCCTGTCATTAAGCAATGCGTGTCTGCAATCGGTGAATTACTTTTAAATCAAAAAGAAATTCTGGATTTCTGGTTTGGTTTGAAAGAGCAATTGATAAACATACGTTCTTCTCTGAATTAATTTTTGTAAAGAAACGGCTGAGAACTCAGCCAGTCGGTATTTTCTTTGCGCATCTCCCCGCCTCCGCCTCGGCGCGGGACTCTCTTCAGGGGAGCTCTGCTCAGACGGACCAGGTCTGCTGGCGAGAACCCACAGGGCAGCCGTGCAGGGGGCCCGGCAGGGGCGAGGCGGGGCGAGGCAGGCCTGCCCCGAGGGTCTGAATTTCTAGTGACATTGGTGAGCTGTTTCATTCGCTTTCAGCACAGAAAGTCGCATCAAGCGGCAAAGGTGCCTCCACACGCGCACTCCCGCTCTCTGTGAGCAAATAAGAAAACCATCCCTGCAGAAGGAGACGCACTTAGTTCAATAGGGGGGCTACTTCTCAAAACTTTTGGAATTCTTCGACAAAAATCTCCATTTGCCTAGAAAAGCCTCAGCAGAGCAGCGACCTGGTTTCCTGGCCTGGCATTTCAGAGCCCGGCAGCCCTGTCAATTCCTGGGGTGGGCGCTCCACTCCTGGGCCCGAGCTGCAGGGCCTACCACTGTGAGGACGCCAAGGGCCATTTCAAAGAACTATAGGAGCCCTCCAGACTCTGCTCACGACAGCCACTTGGGCCTGGAGGTGTCTGCCTGGGAATGCTAAGGAAAAGGAACACACCCGTTTCTTCAGAGCCGGCCCCTCCATGTGGGAAATGCAAGCATTTGACACACTAGGTTTTCTTTGGATCCAAAACCTTCCAGAGCAATCACCATCCTTCGCCCTCCCGGCACGCGACAGGCTTTAAAATGCGACACCAAGCCCAACTGTGCTCAGAGCATGGCAGCTCGTGCCAACAGGAAAGCTGCCATCTCACTGCCGCTGCCGTCCCGCGTGCTAAACGCAGACAGAGCCGAGACTCCGGAGAACAGCAGTTAGGAAACGGTTAGCAACTACGGGGACGGAAGACGGTCCTTTCCCCGTTGCTGTGGTATCACAGGATGTGTTTTGCTGGAGAGGACAAACAGACCCTTACTGCATTAAAAAAAAAATTTTTTTTTTGAGACAGAATCTCTCTTTGTTGCCCAGGCTAGTGTGAGTGCCGTGGCATCAGCCTAGCTCACAGCAACCTCAGACTCCTGGGCTCAGGCAATTCTCCTGCCTCAGCCTCCCCAGTAGCTGGGACTACAGGCATGCACCACCATGCCCCGCTAATTTTTTCTATATATGTTAGTTGGCCAATTAATTTCTTTCTGTTTATAGTAGAGGCGGGGTCTCGCTCTTGCTCAGGCTGGTTTCGAACTCCTGACCTTGAGC